TTCTCCTGAAGTTCCGCCAACTGTTTGTCCTTGATGAGGAGTGCCTTGCGATGCGAAGAGTCCAATTTCCGCATCATCCGCGCGTAGTGCAGGGAAATATCATTCTCGTTGTCCATCGGTAGAGGTGTATTGCTTTCGTCCGACGTCTCGCTCACGTCGAGAGGCATTGGTCCACTGGCTGATGACTCGCCGTCTCTGCGAGTACTGGTAATCTGGGTCGTGGCTGCTCTGGTAGGGAAATGGAACATTCCACGTGCGTCTCTATCTATATAATCTGGGGAGCGTGGTACACCATTGTCAGACATGTCACCAAAGGTTGCGCCAGCGGACCGGATTTGCAGTGGACGTCCTCCCCATGAGTTGGCACGCTGTCGATATAATTGAGGGCGATGACTGGCCCACACAATCTCACCCGACGTGATAAGTCGAGGCAAGCGTTCCCGGTATGCCCTCATTGGAGACGACTTTGGCGTCAGATCGTCTCTGTCGAGCATCAGATCTTCTGAAACCACCCTTCTTCTGCTATAATCTGGATTCCGACCAGACTGAGTTCCAGGGTCCTCTCCATTGACCAGGCTTTGGTCAAACTCACTAACAGGAGTAGACGTGCTCTCGCTGATGACGAGCGTGGCCGAGGACGAGCGGTGAGTAAGCTGATCATGTCGCACGGGTGATGGTATTTCAATAGGTGTCGGATCCAACAGATTGGCTCGGACAACAGCATCTTGATCGATGGCTTGGAATGCTGACCTCGGAGTAACGGCCCCATCCCCCTCCAAGTCCTCTTCCTCGACATCTTGAACACTTGCTTCGATTCGACTGTCTAAGCTCATAACATCGCTTGTTCGCTCTCTTTGGAAGCGCAACGTTTCGCCTGGCCCGGTGTACGGAGGGGGTGCATCAGCCGTGATTTTGGAGCCATCCCGACTAATTCGAAAATACTGGCCGCCGACATTGATGTCAATGCTGCGCGCATCTTCTTGCAATGTCGTTGTGGTGAACTTGGACTGGGTGGAGATAATGGACGAGGCTCGACTGTGTCGATTCACTCGTGCGTTGCTCATTTCTCGCGCCCAAGAGGGTATGCCCTGTATGGGTGTTGCGTCATGATCATTACCCGGGGAGATTGCTGTTAATGGGGGCACCTGATCATCCGCCTCTCCCGAAGATTTTGGATGATCCTGGGTCGATACATTGGACACTCCCCTAAGAGATGGAATGGCACTTGCGAACCGAAACATAGCTTGAGATGCTATGTTATGGCCGTTGATCTGCGAGAGTGAGGCTTGAATTCATTTGTTATTCAAAATCATGTCACTGATCGCGCTAGCAGGGGGACAGTCAGCGGGCGAGGGTCTTGTGGTCATTTCTGCGGGCTGTAAAAGGACACCATTGCGCGCGCGATAGTCAGGGCCTTGAAAGACAAAGTGTCCGAAAAGCGGGTGTCTCGTTTCAAACAGTGAGGATGACAGACTTGACGAGAACGAGGAACTGGATGTGGGTGGACAGGTGCTTGATTAAAACAAGCGGGTTGGAGGCCAGGCTGCCTCGAAAAAAACCCTGCACAGCCTCAGCATCAGCCTCAGCCTTGGCCGAACTCGGTAAAAGGCTGCAAGGCTGCCAAGCTGCTCACAAACAAACACCGATTACACCCGGGGTTGTTTCCTGCGCGGTGACCGAAGAAGTCATTCTCATCAATCATCATCGAGTAGGCTGCCACATTGAAAATAAAACAGGACAACTTACATGAAAGCCGGCAATATACAAAGGAGCTTGACGCTGGCCGGATGGGCGGAAACCATTTCCAGTCCCCCCAAGCGGAGTATCGGGTCTTTACCTAGATGAATGTACTCTGTACGTGCTCGGGACGTGCCTCGTACCGGGCAGAATCGGCAAATGACAGACAAGCCGACCTCAATCACACTTCGATTCCGTCGATTTAGGACAATGTTACAAGAAAGACTGAGCCACCCATCCCATCCTTTCGTAGCCAGCCTCGTGAGTTGTGTCTTGCGACATGTCATCTCTAACATACATGGTACATCGAGCCTGATTTCTAAGCTATCACGGTCAAAAACAACAACAGACGGCCTCCCCTTTGCATTGGTGCATCTTAACATCATACATACATGGCGCTAATCTTGCGAGCAACAAGGAAACGTGAGCATGGTTTTGTTCTTTTTTCGCATCGATGCGGCATTCTTTCTGGGTACGAGAGTCTCCCGGACCTTTCCCTCCATCACTCTTCAGCTCCACACTCAAAGTCGATCACGGGGAATCCTCTCAACGGTAAAAGTCTTGTCGCACCTGATCTCGTTGAGTGTCGAGTCATATCGCATAGAGTTGGTCGAATCCGCATCGCCGTGTGCACTGTCACTGTGGACGCCGTGACTGCCGAGGTCACCCTCAGTGGTGGTGACGATGGACTTGCTGATTGGGTATGTGTCCATATCATAGTCCAAGTCTTTCGCGTCGAACTGACTGCGGTGGTGTCTGCTGGGCTCATTCCAGTACGATGTCTGCTTTTGCGGCTCGGTGGTGCGGGAATTGGTGGGTTTGGTGGCCGGCCGGCTCGTGAGTCTCTGGATGATGGGGAACATCTCCTTAAGGAACACCCAGATTCCGGGCAGAGTCGTCACGTAGATGGACACGGAGGCTTCGCGGAAGTACCAGTTCATGTAGACGTAGGAGATCAGTGAGGGGACCAGGCAGTAGATGGCCCTCAGGATGGCGGCCACGATCACGAAGCCGCCCATGCCGAAGATGATGCCGAGAATCAACTTTTGCTGGAGCGAAAGTCGGGCGGACAAGACTGGTGGGATACCCATCAGCATGATGAGGATATCGGTCGAGATGTTGAAGACGGCGTTGACAATCTGATAGTATTGGTAGCTAGAGCATTGCGCTTTTTGGCGGGTTATGTCAGCATTGTGAAGGGTTTTTAACATGAAAAGAACACGAGAGAAACTCACAATTTTCAGCCGGCACGGCCCAATACTGAGAAAGGGGACGGCAGATGGTAAAGAGGGCAAGTTCATCTCCCACAAAAGCGATACAAACCCAGATCACGACCCCCCAGAGCAATCGTCGCTGTCGTGTCTTGTCGATCAACTTGGCATACAGAACCAGCATGGCTAGGTGTGTCCCTGTCAGCACGCAATGTCCACTTCACGATCGCCCTGGACAATAGGTGGCCTGAAAGGGAAGGGATCAGCCCTTTGAACTCACCAGCCTTCATGCTCCAGATTGTGAGTAGTTCTGCATGTTCAGACACAAAAACCCATTTGCTCCCTCTGACGCGCCCTTCCTTGATCTCTGGCGTGAGCGCAGCCTCCTCCTCAGGTGTCATCAAATTGGATCCTGGTCCTTCTAGCATTTGGTTGAAAGCCACCACAAGCAGCGTATAGGCAATAAAACCGAAGCCAATGAGGGCGTCGTCGACTTCAAGGTGCTTGATGCCCACCCGCTTGATCCTCCCGATCCTGTACATGGCACGTTAGAAGGGTCTTCTCATGAACAGTGGCCGCAAGGCCTTGTTGGTACGGACTGTCGCAAGACCACCAGGAATGCGCCCACGCCATATAAACTCCATGATTCCGGGACGAAGCCGGGATTGGGATTCGTCGACATGAATGCTGTCTTCCGATGAACTGCTCAGGCAGAGGCAACGTTGAGAGGTTGGTGATGGCAGTCGATGTGAGCAGAGAAAGATGGAGAGTTCACTGCGCAGACGGGGTTCGTGGGTCCTCTCATGTTTGAATAGATAATACGAGTGGTGTACGAGATACAAGTAACTTTCTGGGGTCTCTTGGGTGTCCAGCGCCGAAGCGGCCGAGAGATAACAGTCTCAAAAGGGACGTTGCAATATCCCCTCTAGCTCAGACAGCATGTGGAGTGTCGTTCAAAACCTAGTTGCCGAACCCACAAGAAACGGTGGAAAATGAGAAAAGGGGGTGGACAATGACTCGGTTCTCCCACTTTTCACACCATATCAACCAATGCTGGGCATGTAACGAGGTATTTGTCTGTTTCGGGATGTGCGCTGCCGGGAGCCTTAAAGGCTAAAGCTGCGGTACCTGAAGCATACTCGGAGGGGCAGGTTGGCATGGCTGGGCAGGAGGTTGTTGCACTAGTTCAATCGCTGAAGCGTTGGGAATTGGAACCTGGTCAGGGCTTCAAGGACCCTGTCTTCGCCACTTGCCACATGGTAGGTCTGTATCGAGCGACGTGCCATGTTCAGGTACGCGATCTCGCCAGATTCCATCAGAGGGGGGCCTCAACGGCCGTGCTGGGGTGTACCAGGGAGTTCCAGTGGCTCGCGTACAGGTAGTACCTTACCAGGCTTACCAACAAGTACAAGGACATGTACTTTACGTGAAGGAGAGAAACAAGTGAGACCCATAACCGCCTGATTGAGGGGTCGGTGCAATCGACTGAATAGGTTACACTCATGATAGCTGGGTTGCAGAGCATGATTCCATTGACACATGGTTTGCTCACGGAAGGAGAGGGGTGGAGGCTTTAAGTGGGAGACAAGAAAAATTTGAAGCGGCTAGCGCGGAAAATCCCCATCGCGTCTTGGCATTCTCCGCCGCGTCAAACCAGAGGGAGAAGCAGTTCCTGGCTTGGCGGGAGGAAAATCAAGGTTCCTGTCCAATCACATGATCCGGCCGAGGAGAACGAACCCTGTCCGGACCTCCACCACCGACCCAGTCACTTAAGAATCCATTTGTGGCGAGACCAGCTGTACTGCTGCGTACTTGTATTGTGAACGGAGAACAACTTCGAAGCGACATTGTGGAGAAAGACACTATCCAAAGGTCACCAATCTGCCTTCATTGGTAGGGGTCTAGCTTTTCTCCACGCTTTTCATGTACCTACACGAAGTCTAGTCTTACCTGCCCTCTTCATTATCTCTCTTCACTTATGTCAATTCCGCTCTGCTCCTCTTGTCCCCTTTCTAGTTCTTCACTTCCTCGTGCCCGGCGCTGATCCCCAAGATGGCCGACAAGAACGAAAACCCGGAGCTCGCGACAGAGTCAGAAGCTTCCGAGTCGGGGGGAAATTTCATCAACGCCTCTGGCCATGCCCAAGAATTGTCGCGAAACTTCAGTCTTGTTTCCCTCGCCGGTGTCGGCCTTGTCGTGGGCAATGTATGGCCAGCCATCGGAGGCTCGATATTGGTCGCTATCTTCAACGGCGGCCCACCCGGTGTGTGCGCCTCTTCTGGGAGCTCACGAAGCATGGCTAACAGGAAGCACAGGCGTGCTGTACGAGTTCCTCGTCGTCTCCGTCTTCTACTGGATCGTGGCAGCATGCATCGCTGAACTTGCGTCTGCCATTCCATCTTCCGCCGGCGTCTATCATTGGGCCTCAGTCACTCCGGGAAAGCGATGGGGCCGCGTTGTAGGTTTCTTCGCTGGATGGTGGAACTGTCTCGCCTGGATTCTGGGTGCTGCGTCCATGACATCAATTTTTGTGAGTGTTACCAAAGATGGAGAATAGATTGTGTTATTTGCTAACTGAAATGTCGCTCAGTCAAATACAGTCGTTCAGATGTGAGGAGGTCTCGAGTCGGGGATTGTCATCGACATGCTAACAAGCAGCAGGTATGCCCTGAAGCATCCGGATTTCGTTTCTCAGCCATGGCATGTCTTCGTTACCTATGTGATCGTTACCTGGATCGCATGCCCAATAGTATGCTTCTTCAACACGGCCATGCCGCATCTGAATAATGTGGGCATTTTCTTCGTCCTCGCTGGTTTCTTGATCACCATCATCGTGGTGTGAGTACAATCTTTCTCTGACAAACCTTATGAGAGGGGACTACTAACACTTTCCAGGACTGTCATGCCAGGCCAGGACGGTCGACCCGGCCATGCGTCTTCGTCCTTTGTTTGGACCGAATGGACTGCCGACATTGGGTATCCTAATGGGGTGAGTTTTGCCACCTCTCAAAGCAGCGGCAGAGGGATCTTTTCAACCATTCAGCTTACTAACCGAGGCTGGGTTTTAGTTCGTATTTGTTGCAGGTATGCTCAACGGAGCATTTAGCGTGGGAACCCCAGACACTACAAGGTCAGGAACTGTCTGAGAAAGAGAGATCGTGCGACAACAAGTGCTAACGCCCGAGTCAAGTCATCTTGCGGAAGAAATCCCCTACCCTCAACGGAACGTCCCTATCGCTATTGCATGCCAGATGAGCATCGGCTTCATCACCGGCTTCTCCTATCTGATTGCTATCCTGTACGCGATCAACGACTACGATGCTCTCTTCGACTCCCCATACCCGATCGCTGAGATCTACCGACAAGCCACCGGTTCGGCCAACGGCGCCATTGGCCTCCTTACACTCGTCCTGATCTGCATCGGCATCTGCGTGTGTGGACTCTACATTACGTGCGGTCGGACTCTATGGGCACTTTCGCGAGATGGGGCGACGCCCTTCCCCAAGATCCTAGGCACGGTATCCCAGAGACTGGGTATGCCATTCAATTCGACGATCGTGTCCGCCATCTTGGTCACGATCCTCGGAGCCATCTATGTCGGCAGCACCACCGCCTTCAACGCCTTTGTCGGATCTTTCGTCCTGCTTTCAAGTTCCTGTAAGTCGCACTCTCCTTCCACCACAGCACTCTCTCCACCACGAGATGGCGCTCCTAGCTAGCTAGGCTGAACTTGGAATGACCACCCCTTTTCCCCCTTCTCAAAAACCCCTCGCATATCGGCTGCACTGTTCGATGCTAATATCAGATTTCTCCTCCTAATAGCCTACATTGCTGCGATCTTGCCCCATCTCCTGACCAAACGGCGCAACATCCAAGTCTACGGGCCCTTCCACCTCAAAGGCGCCCTGGGCTTCGTCTTCAACTTCATCGCCTGCGCCTACATGATGGTCTGGTTCGTCATCTACTGCTTCCCGTACTACCTCCCGACCGACGCCCAGACCATGAACTACGCCTGCCTGATCTGGGGTGGATTCACCATCTTCGTCGCCGCGTGGTGGTTCCTGGGCGCCCGCAAGGGATACCAGGGCCCGCCCATGATCACCGACGGCGGCAAGGTCCATGTGGCCGACACGCTGAAGAAGGTGGACCTTCAGGCCGTGAGGAACAACAGCCTCAAGGGTGCGTAAAAAAAAGGCAGCCAGAAAATATTTTGGATCTTTTGCGCCTTTGCATCACCAAAAACGTCCTCCGAGATTTGGGCTGGGGTTGGGAATGATCCTCGTATTTTTGGGTTTCCGGCCTCTTTGCCTCGCGCATCTTGGTTGCTTGATTCTCAAAGCGATCTGACCTTCTGGACAGGACCCACAGATTGAAGTTTTAATTTTTTCTGATAGAATATAGAACACTACCTATTTACTTGGCCCGACAAAATTCAATGGTTGTATTTCTACCCAGGCAATGATATCCTGAGGTGTTTAGAGAGATCAAATAAGGGAAAGTGTCACAGATCTGGAACTCTTCTTTTTGACTCGATGAACAGCGATTTAGATCAACCTGCAGATCCTGTACGGCCCGATGCGTTGTTGAAGCGTTTTGGGGGCGTGGTCGTAGGGATCAGGGATTGGGTCTCCCGTCACGTGTACTTGGTCGCTACGCCGAGATTCCCCGTGTACCCGCCGCAGCGAAAGATTACTACTACTATTGCGATTCAGATGCTACCGTACTGTGATAGTGGCCAAGATGTCCGAACTAGACCCTTATATGGACCCTCCTGCCTGCTGCTTCTCGCCTTGTGATTCTGTGCCGAAGTTGCATACATAGACTTCCGAATTCAACGCGGCCTCATTCCGCAAGTACTGCAAGCAAGCAAGAAACTGCCTCTCATTGCCAACTCGGATCCGATTTTTCACCATCAGACAGTCTCCGTCCTTGAGACCGACCCCTGACTCATCCATGAGGAGATCGACCAGTTTGGCCCAGGATGGGTTTCCGGTAAATCGATCCATGATATCACGTATGGCGATGATGTCCTGACGCTGGGGTTCGTTCGGGCGTAGCACATGCAAGACCATTTCGGTGGTTGAGAGTGAGTCGCCGACTGGATAGCTGTTGTAAGGGCTCCAGGGCAGTTCCTCATCTGGGGACGAAACATCCACCACTGGGATCGGTTGAAGCGATGCTGTTGTTGCATGTACTTCACCATCCCGCACGACGGATTTGATTGACGTAGTGGCCATCTCCAAGGTTGCGGACACGCCATGCGGTCTTTCGTCAAGATCCATCAGACCTGAGATGGACACGCCAGCCGTTGAATCTGGAGGAACAGGCCGTCGGAGACCGAGACGATGGGTAAGTTCATGTTTCGCTGTCGATTCCATGGATTTGCTTAGGTCAGCCACAATAGCCTTGTACTGTCTGTAGACAGTCGGATTGGCTGCAGGCGGAGGCCTCCAGGTGAGGTAGAGCTTCTGGTGGCAAGACGCAATGTTAAATGATTGCGGATGCCTTGCGAGAAACAGCTGGCACAGAAAACATGATTTCTTGCTAACCCCGATGAAGCGAAAGAGCGGCCTCCTATAGGGGTCGTTATCGTAGAAATTGACGAGCTGCATCTCAGCATGAACAGGCAGCTGCAAATTGCAAGTCTTTCGGAAATGGACTTCAGGGTCTCTAGCCCCCCAGAACTGAGCCAGGCGGGAGACATAGTGCTTCGCCTCCTGGTCACTGGCAAGTCTTCGAAGCACGCTCGTCAAGGGCATCTCTTCCCCCACACATTTGAATGTGCTTTTCGGAGGGGCGATGGTAGGTTCCACAAGCATCGGATTGAATAGAGTCGGAAACTCGGATGCAAACGCGAGCAAGACCGTGGAGGCAATCGCATACCGTCCAAGCTTGAGGATTGCGCAGACCCATCGAGGCAAGTTGGTGGGGAACAATGCTCTGAGGCACGTTAGGTAAGTTCGCCGAGCCTCCACAGCCCATTGAACATGACGGACAAGATCTTCAGGAGTAGATTCCGAAGGTAGATCTCGTATCGTGAAGACGTGTGCAATCCATTTCGGGAAGCTTAATGCGTGGTCGATTTCTAGAAACGCAGGTGTTGCACTGAAACTCTCGACCAAGTCCTTCACATCGTTACCAACGCTGCGAATATCTTTCAGGTAGGACCGTATTCTGACAGCATCGAGGCTCGTGATTCGGGTCAAGACCTCCTGTTCCGTATCGGATGCGACATACTCTGCGAAAGAGAGCTACAATAAATCGGTGGTTGGGTTGACGTAGTGGTGCTACTCACCTCCGCTGGCAATGCCATTCAGAATAGCCACCAATTCTCGCAACTCGTCAAGTGTGGACTGTGAGACGCCCTGGTTACTTGCAATGCGGACTATCGTTCCTTCCGGATGACCCTCCTCCAAACAAGCCGCGGAGACGGTATCACCATCTTTCTTCCGTGCGCAGATAAGGGCAAAAGAATCGAGAAACTTGCGCTTCAGAAGTCGCTCCCGATTCTGCTCAAGTGTGCTCGAGTCCTGATCGAGGCCATATGCTGTTGGTTCGCCACGGACAGGATCGAGTAAGTGGAGGAGGGCCGCAGCCTGAATGAAGCGACTTTGAGTGTTTCCGGTGATCTCGTGAATCGGCATCGTGTTGAATCATGAATTTCGGATCTGATACCGATATCATCTGATTTCTTTGAGGGCAGAATGATCCACTCCTGCCGAATCGATGTCGAAATGCTTGGTGGACAAGAGAAAGAGGTCGAAATGATGCCGAACAATGGGTGGCGTGGGGAGTGTCTTCGCTGGCAAGTCAAAACGCATTTTTACAAGAGTGAGGGGTCGGCACCCAGCAGCGTCATAAACAGCAGTCTCGGCCTATAGGTTACAAGAAGGGCTGCATGGTCAGAAGCAGGTCGTTGCTTGAGGTCGAGAGGTAGACACTCGGATGACTAACCACGTGCCGCCACGTGTAAAATTCGAAGTTGATTGGCTGGCCGGCGGAGGCTCGGGCCGCGGCAGCGTTGCCATTTCTGTCCTAGCGCCTACGTTTCTATATTTGTTGGTGATTGCGACATTGACGACCAAAGGTTCGTTACATTAACATCAATTCACTCGACGCCGCACTTACTCTGACGACTCGGCTATTTGGCGAGCGGCAGCAGCAACGGCTAAGTGTCTCTGTCCTATGAAGCCCGATGAATGGCACTACTCTTATATAGCTTTTTACAAGGGACGATCTTGACCTCTTTGGGGAGCTTGCCGATGATGGCTCATATATCGCGCTTCTGACGAAATCGGACCTTGGCCCTCTCACTACGACGAAGCACACACAAAGTCTCCGCGGACAATCATGGGGCTACGGCTGTGCTCACTAAAGCGTTGCAGCACGGCAATAGTCTTAACAGACAATTTGGGCATTAGGTTGTCCTCCGAGATCAACAAGGCTCACGTTTGTTCGCCGAAGTCTCATCAGGCTATTCCTTGATCATACGAAGGAGATTTTTTTCTCTCTGGCGAAGACGGAAGCAAAGACGACGTGCCCCTGGCTCCATTCCGCCACGGGATTCTCTTATTCCCTATACGCGACACATATTTGCGCTTTTTCTCGGGCTTGACCTCGGCAATGGTCCTAGGAGGGATGCACGAGCGCAGTTGTTGCGTTCTAGATTCAAGGTTCAGTTTGGCCTTGCGAGATACTCCACCGAACCAGCGATGCATCAACATTGGCCTTGGCACATATTCATTTATGCATACTCGTTGCTTGATAATAATCCTCAAATATACTTTTCTACAACCATCAAGACGACACAAGACAGAGCAACCATTGGTAAATCCAGAATATCAGTTGATCTAGCATTGCCTCTACGCCTATGAGTGATGGTGCAATTGCTTGAGCAGATCACGACTACAACGCCGGCCATTGAGCACCGGAACAGGAGCTGAGAGACGCAGCCATGTTCGCCCTTGGACAATTGCTGCACGATTAGCGAGCGACAGGGTCCTTGCAGAGCGAAAACTTCAATCGGCTACGGATGATGGTCGAAATGGTGCAATCCAAATTGACCATGACGATTTTTTAAACGACGCCGAGTAGGTGGACGCTCTGATCGCCACGTGTGGGAGGACCTGGCCCATGTCAAACATAAAACAGCCGACAGCCTGACTTATAAGCGAGTCCCTCTGTCTGTGTGTCGACATTGAGTTCTTCGAGTTGCGACAGAGCCAGGTCTTCATCAATGGCTATCCTAAACAGGTTCTTCCTCCCTAGAAGGGACAACCCTCACCAAGTATCAGTGAGTGGGACCGATATCCAACATACCGTTGTCGGCGATGGGGAATTCAAGTACACCGTGGAACAGGGTGGTAATGAATCACCCCCGAGCTATCAAGAAGTGTCTGGTGCTCCTGTCGAGACCAAGTCGCCGCTTGGCTATTCTGTTGGGCGGATCACGATCCTGTTCCTTAATATCAGTATGATGATCGGAACCGGTGTCTACTCGACGCGTTAGTATTGATTCTGGACGATGCTGTCTCAAGAAGTACTGACACTAGGTTTAGCTGCCGCAATTCTGTCTGGTGTTGGGTCTGTAGGCCTCTCATTTATCTACTGGGTCCTCGGCTTCCTCCTTTGCGCCACCTCGCTGGCCGTCTACCTTGAGTACGCCGCCTACTTTCCCAACCGATCTGGCTCCGAAGTGGTGTACCTGGAACAAGCATATCCTCGACCGAAGTGGCTCTTCCCAACCACATTTGCGCTGTGGTACCTGATCCTATCTTTCAGCTCTAGCAACTGCATCGTCCTTGCCAGCTACCTTTTCCAAATCAACGGCCACGAACCAACGGCATGGGAGTTGAAGGGGGTGGCTTTGGCAGCATGGACCGTTGTTATAGTGGTCCTTATATTCAACAATCGCTTTGCATATATCTTTTCCAACGCTGTTGGGGCAGTGAAGCTCATTACTTTGATCTTCGTCAGCATAACTGGACTGGTTGTCCTTGGAGGGCACACAAGCGTGAAAAATCCTACGGCAAACTTCAAGAACGCTTTCTCGGGCACCTCAGATAAGCCTTATGGTTTGACCCAAGCATTGGTGTATATCATTTTCTCTTACGGAGGATATAACAACAGTTTCAACGTCGTCAACGAGGTCAAGGTGAGATCCTGTGGGTCAAAAGGCAACAGTGCA